AGATGTTGGGGGGCGTTTTAAGGTTGTTGAGGGGGTCTATGGGGGTATTGGGGGTGGGTATGGGGGTGTTGGTGGGGTTATTGGGGGTTCTGAACCCCCAAAAACAAAAACAAAATAAAAACTTGCGGGCTGCCAACGACACCCGACCGATAAGTGTGGTTGGCTCCTCGGCAGCCAACCAGCCAAGGGGTGCCAACCGTCGGGGTATGCAACACTAGATTCCCATAAAAAAGGCTACGTTTTGCCAAGTAATCACTCAGCAGTGAGTCAGCGCTGATTCCCATCTAGCTCTCAGTGTGAACATGCCTGAGTCAAAGCAAGGTAAGCTAGAGGAGGGACCTGCCCTCATTGATTTCAGCACCTCTCGAATCCTTGCCCATTATTGCGGCAAAATATGGCAGCTTTATGAAGCCTTACTTGTCCAACTTGGGCACTCTGAGATGCACAGGACCAGCATGTACTGTGAGTCTGCGACCAATACTATCGAGGCACGAAAGACCAACACAACACCACAGAGAGAACCGCATCACGGAAAAAACTGGATGGGTGCTTCTCAGCCCAATTCAACTTTGTTCCACACTTTCCTCAGAGACAGAGAGGACAGTGCAAGGAAAATGAGCAAGAGCGAGATGACAATATCCAGATTGCACAATCACATTGAAAGCCAGAAAGTATCACAGTGTCCAGAAAGCAGCATTGCACCAATATAACACCAATGGAGAATCGTAGCACTTGAAACCGAGTGTCAATGAGAGCTTGCTCTCGCCACCACCAACATAAGTGTCCAGGCCCTTCTCCCTACTTGGCGCTCGGCGCCCAGCCTACTCCCTACACAGCTATTATCTGCCTACTAATTGACAATGCAACTGTTGACGTCAGCAGCCAACGAAGTACTTGAAGATGTCGACCAATGCAGACCATCGCCAATACCAGGTATGTGCCCTCACATCATCATCATCATCATCATTCTCTCTCTCCCTCGACTTTCACCCACGTCTTCCCTCTGTACACCCGAAGACCACCCCTGCGCCACACTGTAGTCCAAGCCCCAGCCAGGTATGGAGGCTGGGCTATGGCGCTGCCCTCAGCAATGCCCTTCTTTTCGCACGACCGCACTCGCACAGCACCTTGCCCTTAGCGCACAGCAGCACACGAGCCTACGCTCCAGCAGCACTGCCGCACAAACTGGCAAGTGCCTGAATGACCCGCCAGGCAGCGAGCTCTTTCCTATATGGAAAGAGTCTGGCCTGGCCTGTGGCCTGGCTGGGCTGGGCCTGCGCCCAGAAGCTTCCGGTAGGCCCCAGGAGGCTGGGCCTCTGCTGCTGCGGCAGTTACGCCTTCAACTGCCCACGTATGTTGCTACAACTGTGGCCCAGGGCCTGCATTTCCAGAAAGGCCTGGAAGGCCGAAGAAAGTATTTGCAGCACGGGTCCTGTGTTCCCTCAACCAACTGGCGCGACACAACTGCCTGAACCCCGAAATGCGAAATTGACAGCGAGGGCCTTTGTGCTCTGCCAGGCCCGCCTTCGCTTAGGGCGGGCACATCTGCCCCTTAGGTATTACATACTGATGCCACACGGGTCCCTTTCTGACCCGACCACTAGACCAAGGGTTACTTAGGCCGGGCCAGCCAAAGGCCGGAACTTTCTCCCGGTAGGCCGCATGAGGCCACCAGATGGTTTTCCAGCAGCAGACCAGGTATAGGCCCAAACGACATTACCGTTGGGCCTGGCGGCGCTCTTGAGGCTGCCGCCCTTCGGTCTGATCTGAATCGTCAATCTTGACGATTCAGATCACGGCGCGCTGGGGCAGCATTGAGGCCCACCGGCCACCGGACGGTACTTTGGCCGGTCCAGCGACCTTTCCAGCAGGTTGGAAGGCAGTACGGCAGGAGGCACCGAGCTGCGCTATTCCTGGTTCAGTGCAGCGGTTGGAGCTGCAGCACTAAGTTTAGTGCACTGCAGCAAAGGGACGCGAGGAGGGAGACTTACCTAGAGTACCGTGGGCGCCATAGCTCCAGCGGCTCAGCCCAGCTCCCGCATCAGCCAAGGCGCCATCTTGCAGACGCAGGTTAGGCCTGAGGCTACTTGCCATCTCCGCCGACTCTCTGCCTCCCCTCTCAGTCTTCTTCTTCTCGCTCAGTCTTCTTCTTCTCGCTCAGTCTTCTTCTTCCTCCTCAGACTTCTTCTTCTTTTTCTTCAGACTGGAGACTATTGATACGAGTTGGACAGAGATCAGTGGTTGGACTTCGGTGGTAGGAGGCTGTGATACTTACCGGATGCGAGACATTGGAGATAGTTGGGATTGATACCAGGCGGCCTCCCAGATCGGCCATCGGTTACATCAGGATTCTGGACCTCCGACATTGGTGACTTATGTCCGCGACATTCTGGTTTTGTTTGATGACATTTTGGGCTACCATATCGGTGACCTTCTGGGTTCTATCTCAGTGACATCTGGTGCTGTCCATATCTCCCACCTCCATCGTCTCTCCTCCCACCACTCATCTGTGTATGGTTGTACAGGGCCTGAAGCATCGTCTATGTATGGCTTCAGACCCACCTTCACTATTGTTTGTGTGTTGAGTGATGTTTGGGTGAGTTCAGTCTATGTGAGTCAGTCCATTTCTCAGACTTCCGCTGTATACATGCTCATCATATATTGGTTGATCTTTGGTTCTGCCCATACTCGGTGAAGTATTCACTAGTATGCAACAGTTTGGTATCGGAGCAGACCAATTAGATGGATCTGCTCACAGGGTAATTCTGAGTAGGAAATCGATTGCTTAATCAGCATTGTCTGGTTCCGAATTAGTTCTGCATTGCGATCGAAGATTCAAGTTGCAAAATTCTATTTTTTTAAAATTCAGTATTCTATTTTAATTCGGTATTGAATTACGGTTGCGATAATTTTGGTTTTCCGCATTAAAGGAAGATTCGCGTTTTCTGGAACCATAAACCGGAATTTCCGCGAAATCGCCGAAAATTAGGGTGAGGTCCGGAATTTTCATGATTTTTTTTTTCTTTTCCCTAATTCCCGAATACAAAACTTCGGCCTTCTGGAAATCGGACTATTTTAGGTCGAAATTCCCGAAAATTCACGTTTTTTTTCGAAATTCGAGTGTTTTTCCTTTTCCTAATTGTCCGATTTTTTTTTCTTCCGTTTGGCAGACTGTTCGGAATCGTTTACCTCAGAACTGCAACTTCCGGGAAGTTCACTAACAACGGTGAATTCCCGGACCATAGGTGATCCCAACGGACACCTAATCTACTGACAATTTAAAATTCGTTATTAATAATTATTAACTTTTATTGATTGATGATTAATTATTATTCATTATTTTTTATTAATTATTTATTATCTTCGAAATTAAATTGTTCGGGGGGGGGAAGATCATCTTTTTCCTTTTTGATTAGGAGTCCAGTCCACATTGGGACCGGGGACTATGTGGATTGTTTGTTCTGTTCTACCCCTGTTCCCACCCTCCCTGCCCTCCCCGTGCCTGTGAACACCGAGAGTTCTAAGTACCACATCAGCCCACGCTGATGTCACCATGACGCAGTGCCAGGCTCGCAGTTCGTAGCCACACTGTGATACCTCCACGGCCTAAGTATCAGCAACAACGACGCAGCAGGTGAACGGCTCCAGCGGCATCCAGTACCAATGCAGCAGCTCCAGTACCGGTCACCATAGGGGTCCTTCCCGCCTGTCCGGTCCAAGGGGACCATGAGACTTTGGCGGCTTGCCTTCAGCGGGTGCAGGCATTCAAGGATGCCGTAGCCACAGCAAAGGCACAGCAAGAGGCAGCAGAAGCAGAACGTCAGCGGCTTGCCCAAGAGGAGGCAGCCCAAGCTCAGCGGACTGCTGAGGCTGACGCAACGGCTCGAGACAAGCGGAATGCCGCCGGCACTGAGTCCTTGATTCAGAATGAGAGTCGGTGGACAGCACTACTCCAAGGCATGATCTTTGTGCCTACGGAAGAACAGGCGGATCTGACACCGGCGGAGGCAGAAAGGAGTAACCTGGCTAACTTGATGCTGTGTATGATGAGGGCGGTAATGTGGAACAATACGATGCAGATCGCGCACGCGCAAACGGGACGGCAGCTGAGACAGACTCAGCAGAGAGAATCTGCAACTTTGACAGCCGCCATCTGCGCAGCAGCACAACATCAGCAACGACAGCAACAGCTGTTGGCATCCACTATCACACGCGTCAACAGCATCGAGGCTAAGCCCTCAGCAGCGCCAGGCTGCACGACAGACATAGCGAAGCAGCTCGGCGAGCGCATCGACCATGTCGTCACCATCATCGGCGACCTGGGTGACTTTACCAGTCCGGCATCGATCAGCAGCACGGTGGCCACCATCAAGACGGACATCACTAAACTGCAGTCACGACCGGAAGCCGCCGCGAAGGCATACAAGATGCCACGCTTCAACATCGGGAAGTTTGATGATTACAACAAAACAGACGCTTTGGCATAGTGGCACGTCATCACCGAAGCAGCCTGCCACCACGTGCCAGATTACCTGATGATGACAGCACTCTACCTCCAACTCATTGGAGGAGCACAGGCATTCATGAACCATCTGGCGGCCAATCTGGAACCACCATCGCCGACCTGCACACACACATCACGTGGCAGCAGCTCGGGCAAATGTGGCACACTCGGCACACTCGATTCATGGTCCGAAATGTAGTTAAGGCGGCCATGAACGATGTCTACTCCAACTCGCAAGGGAACATATCAACACGAGACTGGACGATCAAGTGGCAGAAGATAGTAACCACTCCAGGTTTCGACTTAAGTTTCCCAAACTTACGATCCGAATTCTTTTCACAATCGTGCGCAGGACTGCATTCGTAAGGCCAAATGGCATAACCAGCCATTCGAAATGCCCATATCGCGTCTTAAACGCGGTCTTGTAGCGGTCCTCCTGCCGAATCTCGAGTTGGTGATATCCCGACTTGAGGTCGAGCTTGGAGAAGAACTTGGCGCCGCCCAGTCGTTCGAGAAGGTCGTCGATGCGTGGAAGAGGGCCGGCGTTTCTGATCGTTTGCGCGTTGAGCTTGCGATAATCGATGCACAACCGCAAATCCTTGTTCTTCTTCCGGACGAAGAGAACAGGAGCACCGTATGGCGATGAGCTAGGCCGTATCCAGCCTTTCTCTAGAAGGTCGTCGAGTTGTACCCGTACCACACTTAACTCTTCCTCGCTCATTCGGTAGATGCAACCGCGCGGAGGTACGGCCCCGTCCTCGAGGATTGATCTCGTGGCGGATGGGTCGATCCTGTACGACTCCGTGCGGGTCTTCGAACACGTCGTTGAAGGCGTCGAGAAGCTTGGTGATGCGTGGGTCCGAAGATGAGTCCGTCGATGAAGCGTCATGGGGCGGGAGGGCGTGGAGAAAACACACCCCCATCTCCTCGATGTCGTCTCTGATGATGGAAGATCGCATGCTTGCGGCGGACACCACGTGGCAGCTGATCGAAGGGTGAGGAGGAACTACCGTGCATGGGACAAGTACTCCGTTCCAATCACGAACGTGAACGGTGCGGCGGTAGAAGTTCACCGGGTGATCCTCGCTTCGCAGCCATGACATGCCCAAGGTCATGTCGAATTTGGTGTCCAAGATACCGAAGGACACCGCCTTGCTTGCATGCGGGGCAAAGTACACGGGGACGTCATCTATGCACCGGTTTATTGACTTGTGCGTGTGACCGTCTGCCAACGTGACTTGCATAGGCTGGGACTTCCTCCGGACGCGTGGGCCAAGGCCGGCGCGTACCATTAAAGTCCTGGCTCATGTAGTTGCGAGGTGCTCCGCAATCGATCAAAGCGCTGCAGGTCGCTTCTCCGATCTGAATGCGTACATATAACAATGGTGTGTCGATGTCGTCGTACCGTTGTGTCTTGAACTCGCGGTCGATCTTCGCAATGTAGGCGTGAAGGTCGACAACCTCTACTCCGACGTCCATCAACGGAGTTGGTACTGCAGTGTGCAAGTAATCCCGCAATTGTGCCATGAGCACATTGCAATGCGGTTTCGGCAATCGACCGGACCGGGGAAGGGGCATCCATTGGAAGTCCGCAAATGTCAACAGGTCGAGCTCTTCAAGTCTTGACCATGACGTTGAATCCCTGGCGGTAGATGGCGGCGAAGCTGCCGAAGCGGTTGCCGATGGTGATGAAACCGTACATGCGGTAGATTGTTGCACGTGGAGTGGTTGGTCCAATGGTGGGACCAAGTGGACAACATTGTCCTCGTAAGCATATCGAGAACTTACGACATTCGCATCCTCCCCAGATGTGTAGGAGGCCGCTAGCAAGGCGGCCGAATCTGGCGGAGTGGGAGGTGGAGTCGCCTCACCTCCCGCGGAACTCGGTTTCCCGAGTTGATACGAGGCCGAACATCCTCCTTGCCCTGATCCTGGCAGAGGGAGGTCTTGTGCTTGGTGCTTTGCACCAATAGCAGCAGCCGTAACGGCCGCGGTACTTGTACTCGGCCTCGGTCAAGTGAAACTTGACCCATGGTGCTGGCTGTCCGTTTCCGGCCGGCGATGCGGTTTTCGCCTTCCCGTTCCCTCAGGACTTGTTGTTGCTTCGCGGCTGGACAGCAGCCACCTGATCTCCCTCATGTGACACTTGGGTGGCTGCCGGGTCTTCCACAATGTTGTCCGATTGGATTGCAGCGAATTGCTGCGGTCGCGGATCAGTTTTCACCTTCTCCACATAGGTTGGCTGCCATGCTGATTTCTCATGTGCAGCTGCCCTGTTTGTCTTGATGATCTCCCTCGCCTTGTTGATGATTTCGGCGAAGGTGTTGTACTGCTCGAGATCACCAAGCGCGAGGCTCAAAGCGGCACATGACCGGTTCTAGAACTCTCGAAGCAGATGCAGAAATGGCAAGTCCAGATCGGGCGTCGCCACGATCTTCTGCCAATCCGTGAGCCAATCACGTGTCGCTGTGTTTCCTTGAGCCATCGTGAAGATGCGGTTGATGGCGAGCGCCAGGGCGTCGTCAACGATGAACCGCTTCTTCCATTCCTTTGTCAGATCCTCCCAGGAGACCTTCTTGTGTAGGTCGAAGACCTGGACGCCGTGGACGGTTGCCATATGGCTGAGCCAGATCTGGCATCCTCCCTTGGCGTTAAGGAACAGCGCGCCGATGAACAGAAGTTCCGGGACCTCATGAATCCCCAACTCCGTTGTGAATCCTTGCCACCAAACGACCGGGTCTTGATGTGTGTAATCATCAAACTTCTCGATCCGGAACGTTGGCATCTTGTAATGCTTCGCCGTGCTGGTGCTGCGATCGGGGTCAGACGGCTGTTGTCGCTGCCTGATCTCGGTCTTCAGTGTGTCCAATTGCTGGCTGATGGTGGCTGGCGCTGCGAAGGTGCTAATATCACCTAGCATTGCCACTACGTGATCGACGCATGCCTCCAGTTGGCGGGCAGAGGGTGTACTACTGGACTCGCCAGCCTCCGGTCTTGGTGCAGTTTGCTCCAAGTCCTGTAGACGGGAATCAAGTGCCCGTGCTGCATCCTCGTGCTCATCCTTGTGGTGCCGTACGACCCGCTGGAGGTTCGCAAGCTCGGACTGCAGGTGGTTACAAGTGTAAACCAACCTGGTCACGAGTTTGGCCATGAATTCCTTGTGCTGCTCCTCCGGTGTTGCGTCGTCGTGCCCCTCGGATGATTCAAAGTGCCAAAAGCTGAGCTTTTCAATGCTAGTGGCTTCATGCCGCTGTAGCAGATGCTGGGCTTCTTTGCGGCGTGCCTGGATATCTGCGTCTGCTTCGGCCTGAAGCCGCTGCTTCTCAGCTGTTGTCGCTGCTTCAGCCTGTAGGCGGACAGCCTCGGCTGCCAGCTGGCGCTGTTCCTCAGCCTCGATTAGTGCGAGCTGAGTCTGGAACCGCTGTTTGTAGTCGGCAATAGACTCGTTGGCCAGTTGGCCTGGCATGCCCAGAGCTGGGCCTCTGACGTGGCACTGTTGCTGACGTGGCACTGTTGCTGACGTGGCACTGCTGACATGGCACTGCTGACATGGCACTACTGACGTGGCACTGTTGCTGACGTGGCACTGCTGACGTGGCACTGTTGCTGACGTGGCACTGCTGACGTGGCACTGTACCAACCCGGAAATGCATGCAAAGGGGTGGGTGGGAGGGAAAACGCAGGAAGGGAACCAACCCAGCAATACTTTCCTCCCGGCCCTAATCAACAGATAAAAAAAAAAAA